AAAAAAAAAAAAAAGAAGATAATAAATACCTTCCCCACTGGATCACTATGAGTACTAACCGAGATACCTTAGGTAAGCACCTGTGACATGACTGGTGCTCAGCAAACACGATGCCCCCATTTGGCAGTGCAGAGACATAGACTCAAGTTCAGTCACTGCAGAAAGGAGGTGTTTTGAAATACACATCATCTACTAGAGAGAAAGCACAAAATTCTTTTTCAGATGTTTACATGCTGTAATTGGCATCATCTTTTCTTAAAGCATGGAAACCCTGCGCTTTACCAAATCTGTAATGTAGCTTTTCTGATTACTGCTCCAGGGCACGCATGAGCTTTTCGCCCTCTTAAAATTAATATCAGATGAAGATTTTTTTCCAAATTCAAATATTAGGATAAATGTTGGAAACCTCCATCAGTCTCATCCTTGCCATTGAACTAAGCCAAATGAAATCCTAATCTCAGAATTTCATTTCTGAGGCTGTATTTCCATTCACATAAATTCTTTTCCTCTTTGTATGGCTCAAAAATAAGTGAGTTCCTCTGATCCGGTCGGTTTCCTTATTTTTGGGTTCTCCAGAGAAACCGAGATTTTTATTTTATTTTTTCCTATTTGTTGGACCATGACCATGACCAAGAGTGCTCTGATGTGCTCTGGGCACCTCCAATGTAACTTTCCATGTAATTCTTGTGGTCAGTTCTTAATTTGCGTTTCCCAGATATTTTCTGTAATTTTATCAAATTGCCTCCCAACCCCTAATGACTTGCACAGGCAACCTGGTGACCCAAATCTAACGTGCCTAGAACTCATGGCCTGGATCGGGACCTCACAAACTAAGCAAAACCAGGCCTTGACGCTTCTTGGACAGAAAACCAGAGGAAAAGAGGATGTGAGCTGAATTACTTAGCAGATGATAACCTTACTGGGATCAGCCTTGAACCAACCACCCCTCGTGGTATGAAGTTTAACTGGAGGACATCCATTGGAAAAATACGTAAAGCTAAGATGCTGTTAGTTTTCCCTATCACAGCGCTTCATTTGTCTAACATTCTTGAGGAAGGAAGAATCCTCCTTACACTGTTCACAACCCACTGAAGCTTATTTCCTTAAGTGCTAAAACTTTCTATTTTAAATCGAAATCTTTATAAAAATGTCTGTCTGTGGGCCGGCTGAGTGGCTCAGTTGGTTAAGAGCTCGCTCAAGAGTGTGAGCTCTGAGCAACAGCGGTTCAAGTCCCGGCCCGAGCTGAGCAGCTGCTGAGCTGCCAACAGGTGGTAGGATGGCTCAGCTAAAAAAAAATATATATATCTATCTGCTTCCCTGCCTTTGTTTTCAACAGAGTGCAATCAGCCTCATTTCACCTTGTCTTAATGATTCAAGTTCATAGCTACTGTCATTTGTCCTAATATATATCAATGACCTCCAGATCTTTTGTGCCGAAAAGAAAATTTCGTTTGCTCACACTCACAGAGGCTCCATATGACTGTTTGCTTTTAAATTATTGTCACTTTTTTGGGGGGTCTGAAATTTTCTTTCAGGTTTTAGCTACAGTCAGCATCCTACTCATATCTTCTAATTGTCCATGGTCGGGTGGGGAATTAAAATCATGCCTCAGGAAAACGCAAATAGGTTCTGAGTGGAAATCGCTTAATAATAACACATATAACCTTTAGTGCATGGCTTCCTTGGTTTGTTTGTTGCTGTTTTTTAATGCTCTCTGATTTGCTAGTTATATGCCTGAGAGTTAAGGCTGGAGTCCTGGTTTGAAAGAGGCGCTACTGCAGCAGAGTATTTCCTTATAAAAGAACATAAAGCATTGAGTCCTCATCACCACCAGGCACCTTTTTTTTTTTTCTTTTTGAAAAATCCTGCTTTCTTGCATTTATTACCGGGAACAGAGCAGTGAAGTGACTTACTCAAGGCCAACTATAGTAGGGGCCAGGATCAGAGACAGAAATTGCATTAACTTTTCTGATCAATTCAGTAAACTCATAATAACTTACAGGATTCATACTTACCTGAAATTTCAATGGAGTATTTTGGGTTTTTGGGAGTGTTTTTTTTTTGGGGGGGTTGGTAGATAGATGCTATGGACAGAGTGGTACCTGTTCATAACAATACCATATTTAGCAACTCCAAAATGATCAGTTTTCATAAATGGGAGGACTGAGGAAGGGCTTACAGAAAGAGAGAGATCTTTATCAGTCAAGTTTAATGGCTTGGATGCCTCAAGGTGCCTGTTTCTGCCACTTGGGCCTCAGGGATCTGAACCCGATTTAGACTTTATAGATGAGAGTAACTGCCAATCATGTGGCCCCTCAAGAATATGTAATAAAGAGGAGACACGTGTTCCTTGTCAGGTGTCTGTAATTCCACCTGCTACACAGAAGGCTTTAAGTTGATTTATTTGATTTTTAGGAAGGTAAAATCCTGCACACGCTCCAACAACCCTTCTGCCTAAATCTTTAGGGCACAAAGTTTTTGTTAGAAGTAAAGCAGTACCTACGATTAACAGATTTATCAGGAGGTATGAAAACAAATAAACAAAAAGGATGCAATTACCACCCACACAGGCCACAGCAGGAAAATCTCCTCAATGCATTATCAGCCCAGAAGTTTCCATCTTTCCCCTGGCCACTGATGTGGGAGTGATGGGATGGGGGTGGGTGGGGGGTGGGGGACACCAGGTGACCGGAGTGGGAGAATGCTGAAAGCAAGGTAACTACTGACCGCCCAGCCAGAGCCTCCCAGGCTGAGGGGAGCACTGTCGGGGAAAGGGGGTCTCCCGGTCCACAGCCCACCCTAAACTTGTAGCAGTGACCTGGAGAACTGTGAGCGCCTGCTCCACAGGGAATAAGGCAGTGTCCGGGGAACCGTTAGCTTCCCTCAGGGCAATTATTTACCCTTCACATTAAATTCTGCTCAAGTCACTTACAATTCATTTTCCAAACACAGGCCCAGCTACTTGGATGTGAGCAAGAAAGCAAAAACAAAACAAAATTTCAACTTCATCTTGGTGACCGTGATCATTCCCGCCAAGTCTCCTGAAAACGAATGTGGCACAGAAAAGGAGGAAAATGTAAACTGGGCTGGAATTAAGCTATTACTTTCATCCATCAAGCGTCAGGAGCTCCCCAGCCTAGAATTTACCTGGCTTTAATAGTTTGTAAGGGGTTGACTTTGATTCTGAACCCAAATGCCACGCCCCTCCCCCAAAAAACCACACACACACAGGCAGACACACGAATACATGCACATCGGCTTCTGTAATGATGCCAACACAGACAAGGAAGGGAAGTCAAGATTGAGGGCAGGGAGAACGGTGGGGATTAGAACAAGCCCAGCAGGTCGCGTCGACACAGCACTTCCTTCAAGCGCCGCCAGCTCTTGCAGATGCCATCTCGGTAATCCCGCGTGGCGCTCTGCGCTCTGGCACCGCGACGAGGTGGTGCAGCCGGCGGTGAGGCTGGAACCTGAACCTCCGGCTCCTGACGCACAGGCCATTGTCCTCAGCACTCAACCGCGCCACCTTCCTGTCAGGTGTCTGGTAAACAGGTCAACTGATCTGCGATTAGGGTGCCTCCAGCCTACGTGCAGAGTGGCTGGTGGAATGCAGCCTTTCCTTATTCATAGGAAATGTTTAAGCACGAATCAGTGAAGCGAGGGGGAGGGGGGGTTCGAATATCGTCTTTCACTGGAGAAAACGGAGTCTGAGCGCCTGCTCAGGGGGGGTGCGACCTGAGCGGGAAGCCGATGTCTCTGGGGACGCTGAGTGACAAGCCCCGGGACCCAGCGGCCGGCGAAAGAGGAAAACAAGTCGCACTGGTTAAATTTTTTTTGTACTCTGAAATGCCACTGCACATTCCTTTTAAAAAAAGAAAGAAAGAGAAAGAAAAAGGTCTTGAGAAATAAAATGATCGGCGTCAGAATTGCGGGCTGGAAGGCAGACAAAGTGTAGCTTCTAGCCCGGGCCTGGGGGGTGCGCCTGGGGGGGCGGGCCTAGGGGCGCACCCCGTGGGGCCTGCGCTTCCCCAAGCCATCGGGGGTGACGAGGTGGCGACTCCGACTTTGTGGCGGCTGTTTTCACGCAAGAACCGGCCCCCGCCCACCCGGCCTGCGCGCTGCGGTCCCGGGCGCAAGGGCCTTTCAGAGGCGCGGTCGGCAAATGCAACGTCAGCTCTGGGGGATCGCGCGCGAGTGGGGCGCGGGCGGCCCGCAGCGCCGCTCTTTCACAGCCCCAGGCCCGTGGGCGTCTGGCAGCCTCCGGGCCCCTCCCGGGGTGTCCCCGTGACCTCGGGTCCTCTCCAGAGATGTCTGTGTAGCCTCCGGTCCCCTCCAGGGGCGTCCCCATGGCCTCCGGTCCCCTCCAGGGGCGTCCCCATGGCCTCCGGTCGCCTCCCCGGCCCCCCAGGGCTCCTGCAGCGTCCTGCGCTGGTGCAACTTGCTGGAAACCCAGAGGCAAGATGAAACCCTGGAGGGAGAAACCCGGGAAGAAACCTGACCTAATCTAGGTGAGACCTGGAAAGATAACTAAATTCATGCTGGCTGATTATTAGATTCTCCCTTTCATGTAACCTGTACCGCAAAGGGGAATTTTCACCCAATTTGAATAGATCGTTACCCCTTCCTCTAAAGTCATTTAAACTGAAGCTGTCTGGACGTCAGCCCATCGGTCAGCCCCAGCCCGGCCTGGCCTGGCCTCGCCTACCCTTCGCCCAGTCCAGGGATTCCTGAACTGCCAAACACCCCCCATGTGTCCCCTCAGCAGCAAATGGCTTCTTTTACCATCACCTCTACTCCGCTTCCGGGAGAGGCAGCTTGCGCTCCTGGGAAACACACGAGGTCCTTGCCCCTTCTCAGCGTCACTCACTCCTCGGAGCCAGCGGGGTCACTGCTAATTGCTGTGTGATATCTGGACTTACTAACCTGTGTGATGACCTCGGTGACAGGGCACAGCTGGTGGGCCTGCGTGAGTGGCCGCTCCCCACCCAGATAAAGCCCCCCGACTCTGCACGCCTCACAGGCACAGGCCACTCTACCTGCAGGCGCTAGTGTGGAGACCCCGCTTGCAGATGCAACGCTCACATTCTCACCGGAGGGGCCCTGTGTTAGCCTTTCCCTCTCACTTGCCTCTCAGGGGTTCCCTCAAAGGCTTGAGGTTCTGACCAGCAGCAGCAGTGTCTGTTTCTTAAATGCTCAGCAGGGTAGATCCCAACGTTCATTCCGGACTCAAGCCTCAGATAAGCTAGGGAAGAGTGTGAACCTGCTGTGTGGAACTGCGCGGGCCGCCATCACAAAATGCCACAGACTGGGCGGCTCACACAACAGAAGTGTGTTGTCTCACAGCTCTGGGGGCTGCAAGTCCAAGATAGGGAAGGGTGGCAGCACGGCTGGGTTTCGGGTGAGGCCTCTCTTCCTGCCTTGCAGACAGCCACCTTCTCACTGTGTCCTGAAGTGACAGAAAGAGAGAGAACTCTCTTTTCCATTTCTTATAAGGCCGCAGTCCTGTCCGATTAGGACACCACCATTACAACCTCATTTAACCTTGATTACCAACTAATGCCCCTATCTCTTGCTGTAGTCAGATTGGCAGTATGGGATTCGACATAGGAATTGGGGAGGCAGTTGGGGGGACACAATTCAGTCCATAACGCAGTCCCAGAATTCAAAGCTCCCGTACCAAACTTGCAGTTATACAATAAATAAGTACTGGGGAGGTAAGGTACAAGATGGTGCCTATAGCTAGTACTGCTGTATGGTATGAAAGTTGGTAAGAGAGTGGATCCTAAGAGTTCTCATCACAGAAGAAAATTTTTTTTCTTTTTATTGTGTTCATATGAGATGATGGATGCTAACTAAACTTACTGCAGTACTCATTTCACAGTGCATGTAAGTCTAACCATATGCTGTACATCTTAAACTTATAGAGTGATGTATGTCAGTTATATCTCAGAGTTGGGGAGGGTGGTGAGCTGTGGTACCTTCAATGGCAGCAAACAATGGCAGCAAAAAAAAAATGGTTAATGCACTAATGTTAATGCAAATAGGGTAGAAGTAAATAGGAGAGAACCAAAGTGATGCCCTGTTGCTGCCACAGGAAGGTTTTATATTTTACAATCCCTGACTTGAGAGTCATTATTTTGCACATACCATAAAGTGAAGCTTAGTGCCATCTTCAGGGTGTGATACCATGAGACCATCTTCACAATGGAATTGATCACAATGCCTTCTGACACATCAAAAATTAGACTTCTTTCAGGAAAAGTCAAATAAGATCTACTTTATAGAGAATTGTATTTATGAAAGATTCTGTCATGTAAATTGGTGAAGCCTCTATGGAAAACAGTATGGAGGGTCCTCAAAAAATTAAGACTAAAGCTACCATGTGACCCAGCAATCCCTCTTTGGGGTATCTACCTGAAAAATTTGAAAACACTTATTCGTACAGATATCTGCACCCCCACATTCACTGCAGCATTATTCACAGTAGCCAAGACATGGAAACAACCTAAGTGTCCTTTAACCAATGACTGGATAAAGAAGATGTGCTACATATATACAATGGAATAGTACTCAACCTAAAAAAGATGGAATACTGTCATTTGCGACAACATGGGTGGATCTTGAGTATCATGCTAAATGAAATGAGTCAAACAGAAAAGGACAAGAACCATATGATTTCACTCATATGTGGGGTATAAAACAAAAAGCAACAAACAAACAAGCAAAATTAGCAAACTCATTGACACAGACAACAGTATGGTGGCTACCAGAGGGGAAGAGTGTGTGTGGGGGGGTAAAAGAGGGTAAAGGGGGTCAAATATATGGTGACAGAAGGCGAGTAGATTTTGGGTGATGAATACACAATGGAATATACAGATGATGTATTATAAAGTTTCACACCTGAAACTTACATAATGATATTAAGCAATGTTATCCCAATAAAACTAATTACAAAAGAAAGATTCATAACTAGAAGAAATTTACACAAATATTTTTACAAAGCTAGGATCATCTCTTTCATAGAGCAATTTTGGTTCAAACCAATGAGCCAGTGGATTGCCATTTTGGTACAATTTCCATTTATTTGCAAAGCAAGTCCAGGAAGGCCAGCTTGATCTGGAACCTGATTCTATTTCGCCATATGAGAAAAAAGAATAATCCCATGGAGAAGGCTTATCTTGGTCAAACATATGGACAACAGAAGCAATGATTTCCTGTTTGCTTTCATTTGTCAAATGTCACGACATTTCTGTAAGTTTGGTGGATTGTGGTAAAGAGCTAGGAACTGAGCACTGCTAAGTTCTAATAAAATTCCTCTCTGACCTCAATGTCTGGAAAAGCAAAATGATGCACTGGACCTTGAGTGGTAAAGCCCAAGAAATGACATCTATCGTACTGGCCAAAAGACCCACCTCCTTCTGCCAGTAGTACTTCAGTCATTTACATATTAGTGTGAATTTTTTTTCCTCTGAAGTTATGGATGGAATCAACACACCTTTTCCACAGTTTAAACGTTTTACAAACCACTCTATGTTTTATTGTAGATAGTGTTGCTTTTCATGAGTCACAGTCCCTCATGTTATTAGGTCACTGGAAAGTTTGATGGGCTAGAGCAGGGGTTGGCTAACTTTTGAGACGGAAGAGCCGCCAGGGGTCAGCAAACTGCGGCTCACAAGCCGCAGGCTCTGAAGTAAAATTGAAAATGAAGATAAAACTATCACCGTTTCATTTATAAAATTTGTAAAGGATATTATTCACAGAATGGTGATTGTGTAAAAATATATTAATGGCTCTCGAATAATTTTTAAATTGTTGTGAGGGACAGGGTTGGCTTTTCCAGGGATCAGTAAACTTTTGAGACAGAACGTACCCAAAGAGCCTCATGTGGCTCGCGAGCTGCAGTTTGCCGACCCCTGGGCTAGAGCAAGAGGGATAATTCTGATTGATGGTGCCTGGCTGGCAAGCCTGGGGGTAGGATGGGTGCTTGATGGCAAGAGATACAGGGCTTCAGAACTTCAGTACTGAAGGTACCCACTACCCGGTGCAAAGGGGAAACAGATTCCAGCAGGTGGATGAGGAGCAAGGAAAGGGGATTGGGAAGCAGACTTAATTTGCTTTATGGTTGAGCCAGATTAGGTCCCTGGCAATGGGCAGCAATGTGATATACACCCCTGGGATATGGCACCCTCTTGGGAGGCAGGGTCATGTAGATCATCACAGAACTACTAAGTCTGAAACCGGTTACTAAACTGCTACCACCATATATAACTGACACAACTGTCTCTCAGAAATAATTAAGATGCTGTATCCTCAGTTAGAACAATTCAGCTTTCCTTTCCTGGGCTACCTATAGTCTAGAGGTATACTTTTATCTTTTGTCTCCATAGATAAGCTATATTAAGTCACATTTACTAGAAAACATAGGCTCTATTTCTTACCACCAACTACAGAGTAATTACATGAAAAATTTTTTATTGTGGTGAAATACTCATAGCATCATAAAATGTACCAGTGTAGCCATTTTTAAGTGTACAGTTCGGTGTCTGTAAGCACATTTCCTTGTTCCATAACAGTCACCCCCATCCTTCTCCAGATCATTTTTATCCTCCCAAACAGAAACCCGACCTATGAAACACCAGCTAGCTCCCCAGTCTCCCCTCCTTCCAGCTTCTGGGAACCACTCTTCTGCCCTCTGTCTCTATGAGTTTGATTATTTGAGTTACCTCACAGAAGTGGCTCATACAATATTTGTCTTTTGTGTCGGGCTCATTTCACTTAGCATGATGACATCAAGGTTCATCCATGGTGTAGCGTGGGTCAGCATATCCTTCCTTTTTAAGGCTGAACGATATTCCACTGCAGGTGTGTACCACATTTTGTGTATCCAGTCATCCATAGGTGGAAGTAATGACTTTTTAACCAGCACACAAGTACTTACACATAAAAACTATGCTTTCAGAGGAGAGCACTCCGAAAGCTATACACTTGCTCAGGGATGACGTGTTATAGCTGAACTGTGCTGAAGCCCTAAACCTGAGCACCTCAGACGGGACCATATTTGAAAAAAGGGTCTTTGAAAGGATGATTAAGTTACAAGGGGCCCGTTAGGCTGGGCCCTAATACATTATGACTGGTGTGTCCTCATACAAAGAGGAAATGTGGATACACACAGAGACACCAGGGGCGCACAGGCAGAGAAAAGACCAGGTGAGGACACAGCAAGACGACGGCCATCTACAAGCCAAGGAGAGAGGCCTCAGGAGAAACCAACGCTCCCAGCACCTTGATCTTGGACTTCCTGCCTCCGGAGCTGTGAGAAAAATAAATTTCGGTTGTTCAAGCCACCCAGTCTGCAATATTTTATTATGGCAGCCCAAGCAGATGACTGCAAATTGTTACAAATAAGCATTTTGCATGTTTTTTTGTGGCACTGCCTGAAAATCAGTTTAAGCCCATGCACTAAAATCAGCCTCGTTCCTTTATAGTCACAGGTAGTGTTACTCAGCTTGACCACTGGATTTTTGTCATCGTATTTGGCTTTAAATGGCTTTTGACTCTTTTAACAAAAAATTAAATCCTCTCTTAAAGGATGAAACACCTTCCACTGAGGATATTCAAAAGAACGCTCTGCCAATTTTGAAGGCAATTCCAAAAGGAAATTGCTTTGAACAATAGCGACGGAGTTGAAATGAGTATTTTGCCTACCCCGGTAACCTGCATCGGAGGATATACCACTCATCAAAATATGTATGCTCTGTGATATTTGCAAAAGAATCTGTCGCTTTATTTTCTATTCCTGCCTCTTTCATCTAAATAAAATGCGTGTACATTTGGAACCTGCCACACACTTTTTTATTTCTCTCCAAAAACTGAAGTTCTTCAAAGAGCTCCAAGACCTGACTCTTCATCCAAAGCGTCAGAGCCTCTGTGGCCTTAATCCACAGCCGGATGGTTTTGATACTGTGGTCAGAAAGATCAGCTCCCAGCCGGGCTCAGTTCAGGGACAGCTCTAGTGCAGCCCTTTCCCCCCGTCTCCAGAAGGGACAAGTCAAGTGAGGTCATGATAAAAACACTGAATGAGGAGAAGACGGCAAGCCCTAGGAAACGGGGCCTTTGTGTTTTGAGGGAAAAAGGGTAAGTTGAAATCGGGGACCTTGAGCCATTATATGCACTTAGCTCGGTGGAGGCAACATTTCCAAAAAGCTTTCAATACCATTATCTTGCAAAGTTGTTTTACCAGGGAAGAGGAGCTTGGGTTAGGAACCATGCATCACTCAGCATTACTGCGTCAATGCCTGGCTTTACCGAGGGTCCTGGTCTACAGATATCCCCATGGAAACTTTTCAAAAATAACCCCAACTACCAGTCTCAAACACAAAGTCCTGTTTCTCGCTGGGCTGAGCTCCTTGAGGATGAGGTCTGTGCCTTCATCACCTTCCCATATATGCAGCCAGTGCCGGGCCCCGGGTGGCACCCTATCCACGGTGGATGAATGACCCATACAGCTTTCACTAGGTTTTCAGCTCCTGGGATTTCTATGTCCTTTCCTCTCCTCTGGTCCCCATTTCTGTCTCATTCTCACTTGGTTTTCTCTCAACCTGTAATCCTCATGTTGAAACCCAAATTTACAATAAAATTTTGCCCATGGCCAGAATAGCCTGTAGTTTCATCACAGTGCTCACTTTCAACTTATAAAGTCGGGGAGGGTTATGAAAAGTACCCGGATGCTATGTAAGCCGGGATCTGAGTCCGCTGGAAATGGACTCGAACCGACCCTCTCCCCTCCTCTTGGTGACCCTCTCTCAGGCATTTGGAACTGGCTGGTAAAGATGGCGTCGTGGCCAAAGGAACCCCAACATTACAGCTCCCTTAATTTTGGAAGTCAAATGGCCTTAAGGTGCCAGATTTCAGATAGTTAATACAATTCGGTTCATCCAAAAGAACTCTTTTATTTTTTATTTATTTATTTATTTTTAAAGATTTTTATTGGGGAATTGGGGGAGGGGAACAGCACTGGGGAATTGGGGGATGGGAACAGACAAGTTGCTGTCCTTTTGTTCTTCAGTCTAGCTGTGCAGGACGTTGCTTCACTGGCCCAAGTTGGCACCATCATTGCGCTCTTCCCGGGCGCGGCAGATCAGTCGCCGGCTTCTGGACGGCCGCTCACTGTGGCTGCTGGCTGCTCACGCTGGCTGCTGGCTACACACGGTAGCCCATGGCAACCCCCCTGCCGTCGCTGGCGACCACGGCAGCCCAGCTCCAGGCTGAGCTGTTGTTCAGCATCCCAGCTGTGGAGGGCAATGTCACTGGCCCTCATATGTGGGATCCGAACCGGGGCCCTCTGGCGTCCCAAGCCAGCTCTTAACCAGTGCGCCACTCGGCCGGCCCCAAAAGAACTCTTTTAGTTAAGAAAAAGAAATCCTAGTGCATGATGACAATTCTTTTCATCAAAAATGAGCCCAATGGACTAAAACACCTACTGAAAGACCGACCTTTGTCTCCCACTGTCTTGGAACTCTATGATCGGTGTGACACTGAAAGAACTCATCTATTGTAGGTTACCCTAAAACGTGCCATATCCGAAGTGACTGTATGTGGACAGAGACCAAGGAAGAGAGCCCACACCATGAAAGAAGTTTAAACTCCTTATCCTTAGGAGAATATTTTTCCAAAGATTCCCCCACTCTTTCTGCAGACCTCCTTGCAGGCGGCAGGGGGGAACGGGGTTCCCTTTGTGAACACCAAAGGCCTGAGGAACTTAACTGTGCCTGAACTTGGCAATCACGCCTATTGAGAATGAGCTTTCTCTGTTGAGGATCAAGGAATGCAAGGCGCAGAGTTTCCCTTGTTTTCCTCGGGAGCTATTTTATTCCTCATTAATGCCAAGACAAAGGGCTTATAAGGGCCCTTGACATGTAAACGTCTAATTAGGAAACTTTCAAAACTGACATCTAAAATGCTCACTTTTTTTAAAATAAGAGAAGGAAAAGAAGAAAAGAATTTATCATTATCCAGTGAAAGAAGTCCTCCAATAAAATGAGCTTCTTATGTGTACATTCCACTCAAGCTAGGCTAAGCCCGTTGCTCGCTGTCCATTAAGTCGCACGTTCACAGTCTCATCTGGAACAGTCCAGGGAGCACTGTTTTAGCATGAGTTTCCCTGAAGCAGGAGCCTGACACCAGGCTTGTGTGCAGACAGGTCACATGGGGGGGGGTGATCCTAGAAAGCAGGAGAGAGAGAGAGAGACAGAGAGAGAAACAGAGAGAGAGAGAGAGAGAGAGAGAGAGAGAGAGAGAGAGAGAGGTGGCGGGGAAGCACCTACTGTGGGAGGCAGGGGCGTGACTCCTCTCAGGGACCACCTGAGAAGCCCACTTAATGCCTTCCAGAATTTTCCTTGTGAAAGACAGGAAGCAGGTCTGTCCATCCATCAGCTCCCACCCAGTTGGTCAGAGGTCATCCTCAGAGTGTTAACTTCCTGATCTATGCATGTGCGTGGCCTAAGCCAACGCGCTTCGGTGTCATGGTGCCCCGGGGTAGAAAGCAAAACTATGTGATGTATTATCTATTGCTATATTAACAGATAACTCCCAAACTCAGCGGCTTAAAACCACCAAGAATTATTATTTCACAGTTTCTGTGAGTCAGGAATACAGGAGCAGCTGGGTAATTCTAGCTCAGGGTCACTCATGGGGTTGCAGTCAAGATGGCGGCCAGGCTTCTGTCATCTGTAGGCTGACCCGGGGCTGGAGGACCTGCCTCCAAGGCGGCCCGCTCACATGGCTGGTGACAGAGCTCAGCCCCTCACTGGCTGGTTGCAGGCGGTTTTATTTACTCATCACATGCGCCTCTCCAGAGGGTTCCCTGAGTGTCGTTACAGCATGGCAGCTAGCGTCTCCCAGGACAAGTGATCCGAGAGAGAGCGCAGGCGGAAGCCACAGGCCTTTATGACCTAGTCAACAGTGCCCATGCTGTGGTCACACGGACCAGCCCTGCTCAATGTGGGAAGGGACTACACAGAATGGGCTCAGCAGGAGGAGGAGGTAACCGGGGCCGTCATCAGGCTGGCCACCACATGTGGGCATGGGCTTAGGGGTACTGTCAGGACCATGTGCCGACACTGACACGGAGCTGCCTACCCCAGCCATGGCGAAGCAACACGCGAGGCCAAGGATGTAAGTGGTGGCGTGCCAGGCGCCTGCTTGAGCTTTGCCTCTGTCGCGCCTTCCAACACGCAGACCCAGTCATGGCCTTGGCTCCCTGAGGAGAATGACCAATTAAACAAAGATCTCAGAAAATGCTGATGGGCAAAGCTAATCTCGAGTTCTAAAACACAGTCAGTGGTCGGACATGGCATACACCTTGGGCTGATGGAATCATTTAGAGAGTTTATTTCTTGGTTTTCTTTCACCCCCAGACTACAGCGGACAAACTACAGAAGCCAACACATGAGGGCCTTTCAACAGGGAAGCAGGATATATCAGATGCTAGGGTTTTATGAAGTGGCACAAGGCACAACCCTAAAGGAAGTGAACCTGGGTTCAACACAAATGTTTGTCGAATGATTCATCCCAGGATTTAGTTTGGTTTACTCTGGTTAACACTGCAACACAGTCCATGCTCCGAAAGTCATGATTTATTGAAAACATGTAACAAAATGACCTGAACGGATGTAGAAAAAAGCATCTCCACACGTAGAGCAGGCTGAAAAAACCACCCAGGTCGGAAAGACTAATTGTCCATTTCACATCCATCCTCTCGCCGTTCCTTATTAACAGAACCCAATTTTGAGGCCCAGCTTAAAAAATACCCCCCATCTTACCTGGCAACTTGCAACGAGCATATGACACTGTTCTGAGCAATAAAATGTATGTGGAGTCGGCCGCTGAGTTCCGAGGTTTTGCTTTCCTGACACACACATTAGTCCCTGTCTGGAAAGTCGAGGTAGTGACTGCAGCTGGAGCCCAAGCAGCCATCTTGTGGTCACGAGGGAAGGGCCAAGAGAACCATAGAGGCCTGGGGCCACCCGATGACCAGCCACTTGTGTGAGAATAAGAGACCTCTCTAGGCTAATGGCTTTAGCCACTGTTGTCGACTTTTCTCTTTCATACAGTTGATCGCAATCGCTAATGAACACAGCTCGCATGCCTATTTTTAGATCACCTCTCACCAAGTGATAGTTTCCATGCATTGACCGTCTATTTTAAAAATTTCCACTCTCTACAAAGCTGTCAGGTTCATACGACCATCCCTGTTGATTTTCTTCTGAAAAAAAAATTCATCCCATGGTGAGCCTAACAGTCTTCACACACACACACACACACACACACACACCTGAGGATATGTCTGTAACATCGAGGCCAGGGCTACACTGGCTGTGTTCACCCCTAGACTCCGGGTCCCCAGGATCGTGCTGGCTGGAGCGGTATGTCCACACTGCCTTGCAAGGAGTCCCTGGCGAGCCAGGAGGAATGCTCCTGTTCCACCGACTCAGCATTTAAACACTGGCCGAGAGGGTCCCCAGACTGCACGCTACTCAGTGACATGTTTAAGCTTTCCTATCGTTCCCCATTGATGATCACTCCTCATTGAAGGCCTCAGCGAGCAGGATGGCGCCCAGGGACGACAACCTCCCGCTGCACCGCACAGTCCAGGCAAGCTGCCCTACTTGTCAGGCCACAGACAGCACTTCCAGGGTGACGGGCCAGGTGCTAATCCCTCTCAGTCGCCCTACACATGGGGAAATACTAACTGTCCACAGCTAGAGGCGAGCACCTTGCCATGCTTTCTCGTCTGTCTGTCTTTCTTTCTTTCTTTCTTTTTTAAGGGCTGCATTTT